CCGCTCCGCCTCTCAGTCTCAATCTCGTAAAGATGCAAAGGACTCGCACATTGGAAAGGGTCAGTGCTAAGTAGTTACCAGTTACCAGTTACCGGTTACCGGTTATCGGTTACTGCTGGTGATTGGTGAAATTTTGAAAGGGCTCTCCTGAGTCCTGCTTTCCTGGTCTTGGTTCTTGGTGGCTTTTGGGTTTTGGGGTTTTGGTTTAGGTTTGATTTGAAAATTTGATTCCGCTGGTCGACTGGTTGCCGCCGTGTCGGTAGCCCATCAGTACTCAGTACGGGCCTCCCCCAGGAATTCCGTCGAATATTCGTTTCTGATAAACCGAGTATTCTGATAAACCGAGTATTCGGGTATTTGGGTATTCGGATATTCGGATATTTGGGTATTTGGGTATTTGCATGATTGGATATTCGCGATTCGCGTGATTGGATATGAGACGAACGTTCAACGAATACTGGATGGAAACACCTCCTGGAAACCCGGAGGATCTCGAGAATCTGAGCGGCAGAAAGGTTGTTCGTCCAACGTCCAACGTTCGACATTCAACATCCCCCTAACCCCATGCACTCGCCTGTCTTAAGTAGGTCGGTCCCGGGTTCGTCGTCGAAGGCGTGCGTGCGTGCGTGCGTGCGTACGTTTAGGGATATAAAAAAAAAGCGCGTGCGTGCATTCGTCGTTCGTCGTTCGTGACGAGGATACGCCGCGCGCCCGCTCAGAGGCATACATACATGTACCTTCACCGCATCCGCGTTCTGTCGCGAGGCAACAATGAACATTGAAGCCGACTCGTCGGGGAATCCGCGCCCAGGGATTTGCTTCCGCTTGCTTCCAATTAGTCGGTCAGTGTCGGTGTCGGTGTCGTGTCGGTGCGGTGTCGGTGCGGTGTCGGTGTCGTGTCGTGTCGGTGTGTGCTCGGTGTCGGTGTGTGCTCGGTGTCGGTGTGTGCTCGGTGGGGGGGCCCGGGGAGCACCCCAGCAACGCGGGTATTCGCATTCCCGCATTTCCTGCTACTCTCGCTACTCCCGCTACTGCAGCTACTCCCGCTACTGCTACTGCAGCAGTAAGATCTGCACGGGAGGCGTGGTCGTTCAAACGTCCAAATTCCGCGTCAAACGTTCAAACGTTCAAACAAACCTTGTAACTTGCAACTTACTTTGAACCACTGGCACCTATAACCTGGTGATCTCTAAGTTTACCCTCGGGACGTCGGATCTCCAGAGCCTCAGATCTTGCAGTCAGAGGTGAACATTGAGGAGGTTTAAAGCGGGACTGGGGCGGCCGGTGTCGGGAAATGGTTTGGACGCCGTCCTGCATACATAGTCGTTCGTATGCATCAAATTGCGGCGGTAGCTCGTTCTAGCGGCTAGCGGAAAGTGGGGTGAGGTGCGGGAGGTTGTCGGTGATCGTGACTACCTGCGACTGCTTGCGAGTGGCGAGTGAACCGTGAACGTTTGAACGGCGTGCGAGGAGAATAGTTAGTATTCGCGGTTCCCAGTCGTGCGTCGCGCGTCGTCCGCCCGAGCGCAGAATTCGCGAGTTACGGTCCATCGTATCTGTCGTATCTGTATCTGTGGCCTTGGAGTCTGGTGGATGTGGATCTGGATGGGGAGCGGGAGCTTTTCGGTGTCGGTGTCGGTGTCGGGGACTGGGGACACGAAGCGCGAGGTATGAGGTATGAGGAGAATCGTATGAGCAGAATCGTACTTATATGCGGTTCCCCGGTCGCGGTCCCGGTCCCGGTAGTTCGTCGTCGTCCGATCTCCGATCTGCAACCCGTGCGCGTGCCGCGTGCCGGGGGCCGGGGGTTGGACGCGACGCGACGCGTTTTCGGGGCGCTTGGGTACTTCGCTGGTATCGTAGTCGTAGTCGTAGTCGTGGTGCTGGGGTGTTGGGGTGTTGGGGTGTTGGGGTGCTAGGTACCGTGACCGTGGCCGTGACCGTCATTCAAATTCCGCCATCCCCATCGCCACAGCCACCACCCCCTCCACGAGACTCGAGTGCCACCGGTGCAGTGTCTCGAATACTGAGCACTGAGATTTGGGACTGAGTCCGAGTCCGAGCGCGAATTCAGATATGATGATAATGATATGATGATATGATGATATTCGTCATTCGTCATTGCACACTGGCACGCACGCCGAAGTATGCACCGCATCGCGCCATCGATATCCAGACATCCGATATCCAACGCGTACGTTCGCCATCCTACCATCCTACCATCCCTTCCCTCCTCCTCCCTCCTCCTCGTCCCGTGACGTGTCCCGCGACGCATCTCCCTCCCAGTCAGCAGTCAGGGTACCTACTATAGGGTATCTACTATAGGGTATCTACTAAAGGGCAAAATCCAAATCCAAATCCAAATCCAAATCCAAATCCAATTGCAAAATGATCATAAGTTACAAGTCGTAATTAGTGAATAGTGGGCCGGCGGTGGCTGAGCCCGACGTTCAACACTCAACACTCAACATTCGACATTCAATGTTCAATGTTCGACGGGATCATTGGATCGAGGGATCGTTGGATCGGTGCAGTGATCGGGTGTCGATGATATTTAGCGGCTGTTGGTTGTTGGTTGGTTAGCAGCAAGACGCCTGTCGTAGTTCCTAACCCCCATTCCCTAGCCCGCCCTCCCTCCTGACGTCTACTGCAATTGGGGTGGTATGCTGCGACGCTGCGACAGTCTATCTGCCCATCTACCCACATATCTCACTCTCACTCTCACTCACCTACTCACTCACCCACCACCTATCTACCCACATATCTCACTCTCACTCTCAATCGCAATTGCAATTGCAATCTACGTTATGCACCTAGCACCCTAAATATAAATATCATATAATATAGCATTAGTGGGCGCTATGTAGGCCCTCCCCTCGTCTCCTCGTCCCCTTCATTTACACCATACCTCAACAACTCAACAACACGATGACACGATGACACGATGATATACTACCACATCGACTCAATTACTTACTCGTTTTCGTGCTCGTGCTCGTTTTCGTTTACTAGTGCTCGTACTCGTTTACTTACTTATTACTCACAGGCTCACATGTACATGTGTGCGTTAGGTCTGCACTAGGTCGTCAGGTCATCGGGTCAAGTCTGCATCAAGTAGCCCTACAATCCACGCCGTCTGCACGCCGTCGCGCCTCCCCCTTCATATACATACAGAGAAGATGATGATCAACGTCAATCGTCCCTTCGCGTAGATATGGTCGAAACGCCCAAACACCCACACCCAAACGTTCACGCCCAAACGTTCATTAACATTTCATTTCAGATAATGATAATCCCTTCATAGATAATCCCCTTCATAGATATAGATATAGACGATCATCACCCCCAACACCCATTGCCCATCGCCCAATAAGCAATAAGCAACAAGCAACAAGCAATAAGCGGCGCGTATCGTCGAACGGGTGTTGGGCGTTGGGTGTTGGGTGTGAGGGAAACGTCACGCATACGATAGACGATAGACGGTACACGATACACGATAGACCATGGACGATAGACGAACAGATGGAAAACTGGAAAGGATATTGTGTGACTGCTGGCGTCCGGACTTGCTAGCCTACGTCGAGGATAAATCGATGACGTCGGTCAACGCGTTTCGCAGCGAATGGCTCCGGATGAAAGTCGAAAGTCGACTTTCGACTTTTGAAACACGTGCATATCATATCATACTCCCCACAACATATCCCTATATCATCATGGATCTATCACGTATCATATAATACACACGTCCACGTCGCCTCCGGACTTCGGGATATGCCAGACACGTCGTACGTCGTCAGACTGTGACGCGTAGCAATACAATTTGGCAATATAATATGGCGATGTGGCGGGATCTTTCCGTGTCGTGGCGTGTCGACGTCGAGGGAGGGGAGGGGAGCGAAACACGTGCACCAAGTATCATCCCGACGTTTGCAACCCAGGGCGGAAGCAAAAACCAAAAACCAAAAAGTGCATCAGCATCAGCGTCGGGTAGATTGGATAGAAAGGATAGACTGGATAGATTGGACACGTCGAGTAGCGAGTAGATTGGGTGGAACGGATAGATTAGATGAGGCGGCGTACGCGTACGTGAATACGTGAACGGAGGCGATCGGAGGGAACACGGTGGGCGGGTGGTTGATAGATGGAATATTCGTATTCGTGTAAATCCGTGGTCGCCGAGCACTTACAGTACTTGGTGCCTAGTGCTACAGTACACAGTACGGGGATGATGCATGATGGATGATGATCGGCTGAGGATCGCGCTCATCAGTACACCCAATCCCCATGATGGATGGCACACATTGGGGTTACATAAACCATCAATGCAGCTTATCGCGGTCAGTAGGCAGTAGTCACTGCTTTACGGCACTTCTCCTGCTAACGCTCGTGGGAGCAATCCCTTTTTCTAATAATCAAATCAAAATCAAAATCAAATAATAAACACCAGCTACGTGGGAAGCACGCGAGCGAAAATGGGGGACTGCAGCGCGACGCGTGGATCGCTGGTGGGCGGATCTGGATCGCGTCATCATCCCCTTCGGGGAGCACCCTTGGATGCATACATAATACACGCATATTGCAGAGATGGACTTGCCCACGGGCTGGATAAGGCAGTCGGAGCAGCGATGGCGGATATGGGAGGGGGGGCACGGGGGGCTGGCGCCTGCCTCGTTGGCAATCGCTGAATCGCAGATCTGTTGCCCGATGGGTGCAGCCGAAGGGGGAAAGGGCGAGTGAGGGTCTGTGAGGAAGAGATGGATCGGGGGCGGTTATTATAATAATATGAGGCAGCAGGCAAAGCGAGAGCAAGGGAAATAAATGCGGCGCGGAGAGGTATAAAGATACACCCGTCCTCGCCCTCTCCCTACTCTCCACTCCACAGATCGACTACACAACCCTACTACTCCTCCAGTCCGTCTGTTGGCATATACAACTCCGCACACTCCGCACACTACCACTCCACTACTACTACTACTCCACCACTCACCGACTACATCGCAATGGCCTCCCGAGCACAGAGCCCCGACTCGTCCAAGCCCAAGATCGTCGCCCTCCCCAGCCTGGCCTCGTCGCTGTCGTCGCTGCCCCAGGCAAAGAGCATGGCACACGTTGCGCTGCACCCCAACATGTACGCACAGAGAGCTGCTGAGAGCGAGGCAAAGGTGGGTTTCTCTTCCTCTTCCCTTCTTTTTCTTTTTCCTTTTTCATACCCTTCCCTACATACTATGTCTTTTTCATACCCACCCTCCATACCCTTTACACCCATTGCACCCCACCGCTCCGCCCCGAAAACGAACGAACCTAACCTAACCTGCGTCGCTCCTCCGTAGCTCCAACGCGCCCTCACCAAAAACGCATCCTCGCATGCCTCCCAAAACCCGCCGTCGCCGGCGTACAACCTCCCAGTGCGTATCCCTTCCTCCTTCCCCCTTCAATCAATCAACCGTACTAACGACCTCGCAGCCCCAGCCCGAGTCGCCGAACAACGCGAGCTCGCCGCTCATGATGCGCAAGCCGCAGCGTCCCAAGTTCTCCACGTAAAACACTCGACACCACCTCACACCCACTCCCTACTACCCGATATCCTCTCCCCGCTATCCTCTCCCTGCTCTCCGCTACCAACTATCCGCCCACCCACCACCCACCATCCACTCGCCATCCCTTTCACGCATCGTATTCTCCACGCCGGCTCGACTCGACGCGGGTCGGGTCGGCGCCACCCATAGAACGTTCCCCTTCCGCCGCTCTGCTTTCTGGGACTTTGTAGACTCTCTCTCTCTTCCTCTTCTCTTCTCTTCCCCACCGCACACCCACACGCGCACGCACCCATCATGCATATAATACCTCATACATACCTCGCATATACATACCTCCTCCCCTCCCATCCCATCCTACCATCCCACACCACCACCATCCCGCCATCCCGCTTTCCGCCTTTATGTTTGTTTGTTTGTTTGCTTTTTGTTTTTGTTTTCGCTGTAGACATCCCTCCTCTTCCCTTTCCTCTTCCTCTTCCCTTTCCTCTTCTCTCTTTAGCTTTAGCTTTATGGTTTACGGTTTATGGTTTATGGTCCTTGGGTTCCGGCTGCCTCCCTCTCCTTCCTCCTCTCCTCTCTCCTCTCCCACTTGCATATAATCGGTCATCGTCTCGTCGCATCTCACTCTCTATCATCCACGTATCTCACTCTCATCATACATAGAATTTCTGATTCTCATCACTCTCATATCTCTCATTTCCCATACTCTCACATCTCTCGTATCTCTCGTATCTCCCTACTTACCCGTAGTCGTACCCGTAGTCGTAGTCGTACACATACTATGCTGTATCTATTTGTACTCCCACTCCCACCCGGCTCGTCGCATTATATAGGTTCCATCCCGTGAACGCGTTTTCTTTGGTTTGGTTGAGTTGAGTTGGTTAGGGTTAGTTAAGGGAGTGAGTGAGTTGAGTTGGTTAGTTGAGTGAGTGAGACTCGCACAGCCAAGTCGGATACTGCAGTTCCCCCGAGTCGGCCGCCAGTGCATACGTCTCTTCTCTTCACCGACAGGCCTGTCCGCCTGTTGAGTTGCCCGGATTATTAATATTGATTGTCAAATTGTCGGTGTCGGTGCTTGCTCGGGTATGTCACACTGCTCTAGGAGGACGCTATCTCTACTAGGGGCTAGGGGCTAGGGGTGGTGGGCTGGGGTCGACTGCATACTGCATACTGCAAATCGCATACTGCACACTGCACACACGGTGAATGCGGTAAGGGCGGTAAGGGCAGAGAGTGCATTCGCACTGGTGGTGGAGAAATGCACTGGTGGGGGAGTGATACATGCGGTAGAAAGGTAGAAAGGAAGAAGGAAAGAATTAAGGGTAAAGGTAAGGTAGAAAGATAAGAAGTAGAGGTAAGAAATGATTAATGAGAGGTAGGAATGTGAATGTGAAGGTAAGTGGGATGCAGTAAATGCAGTAAACACAGCGAACGGGGGCAGAGGTTTACCGTTGCACCGTATCAGTATGCGATGCGTACGCGTGGGCGTATGTGTATGCAAAGTAATGCAAAGTCCAAATGACCCACACCTCCGCACCTCCAAATTCCAAAGCCCATATCTCCGAAGGTCGTACCTCCAAAATTCGACCTCTCTCAGTCCTATTCAAGTACGCAAGTACGCAAGTCCAGTCGGGCCTGTCCGAGTCTCGACCTCGACCTCGACCTACGTCTCTCCTTATTCATTTGTATCCATTCCTGTGTATCTATCTCTCTATCTATCCCTGTATATTCCTGTTTGTTTGAGTTCTCTTCGCTTCTGCACTCCTAACCCCTTCGAACCCCTCCTAGCCCCTTACCTACTCATCCACAATCCACAAGCCAAACTCATCCAAAACAACACGTCTACGTACGACCTGCGACCGCGACCTACGACCTATGCTGTGTGCTGTATGATCAATGTACGATGCACGATGTACGATGCACGATGCACGATGCGAGATCCACGCAAACGAAAACGCAAACACAATGCCAATGCCAATGCCCGATCCACACAAACACAGCGACGACGGCGAAGAATGCAGATGCACCTCTACCTCCACCTCCCAAGTCCATCTCCACCTACACCTACGCCTCCACCTACGCCTCCAGAGTCCATCTCCTCGTCCTCATTAGACGTTTGAATATTTGAATCTTTTATTGAATCTCTTATTGTTTATTTGAACACTCGAACGCTCGAACGGGGCAACGGACGTTTAGAGCCTAGGCCTAGGTCTAGGTCCAGGTCCAAACGTTCACTGCAAAGTATGCAGAGTCCAAAAAATATACACGTATCTCGTATCTCGTATCTCGTATCTCCAAAGTTCGAATGGTCAAATGGTCAAATGTTCAAGACGTTCGCGATCGAATTGTTGTCATATCCATGTCCATATCCATATCCGACGCAGCTCAGCACTCGAGCACTCGACGCGTCTAGCCTCCAGCTCAGTCCCCAGTCCCCCCCTCCGACCTCCGTACCTCGCCGTTCTCAAGTTGCAGTTCTCGCCGTTCTCTTTCTCGCTTCCTCGCTTTCTATTCGCTCCCCCTCTCGGGAATCCCCTCCACCAACCAAGTGCGAAGTGTCTGCGTACCAATATACACAATATACATATACCATCGTGCCTAGTGCCTAGTGCCTGGTGCTTACGGTAGCCAAGGTCTCCGCTGATGCTACGCACGATGTGTGATGTGTGATGTTGATGTATTGATGTATGAGGTATGGTGTACGATGTACGATGTGTTGTGCGTTGATGAGATCACTCGTATCGAAGCCGAAGGGCAAATACCGTAACGCGTACAGCAAGAACTAGAAGGCCTAGAAGACCTAGGAGACCTAGGAGAACAAGAGGACAGGACAGGACAGGACAGGAGGGCATCATCTGCGTATCTATTCTATTTTACGGCGGACGTTGAGAGGTTGAGGGAAAGGAGGAAGCTGAAGCTTCGAAGCGCTGCAGGGCCGCCGGAACACCACCGCACCAAGATATCAGGATATCAGGATGCCAGTATGCCAGTATGGCAATAATAATATGGCAATATGCCGATATGCCAAGACAGGCGAGGACAACAAGAAGTCGAGTGGCAGATGCCCGATGCCCGATGCTCGATGCTCGAGTCCAGAAAGAAGCCACTGACGCAGGAGGTCCCGGACAAGAAGGACTCGGAAGCTGCAGTGTGCAACGTGCAACGTGCGCGTCCGAAGCTCGAAGCTCGAAGATCGAAAGTCCAAAGTCCAAACTACGTTCGAGAATCGCTATGCGTCGACGTTACGCTACGTACCTACGTGCCTACTACCCTGCTACCCTGCTACCCTGCTTCGCCCCACTTGCGCGGGTCGCTCTGCCCTCCAGCTTCATTGCCCCAATACCTCACGTATCCAGGATTAGCAGGCTAACGTACCACAGGCTACCGTACGTGCTCTCTGACTTCGACTCCAGGGACTCAGAAGCCAGAAGCCAGCCATTGCGTTACGCTCGCCGCCGGCTGGGGCCATGGCCATGGCCAGACCCGCGTACCACACGCGTCATGCTCAGTGCTCTCGGCACCGCGCGCGTCTGAGGGAGGAACGAACGAACAAAGAAGGAACAAAGAACGGACGGACGAGGGGTATATATAGCAACGAATGGGCGGATGGACTGCGTGGCGTGGACGAGACGGAGGCACGGGGGCACGGGGGCAGCCGTCCGGCCGCCCAGCCGCCACGATCCATCGTGTCCAGGAACAGCGTTTCGCGAAACGCTGCCAATTTAGCGCAGTGCTTTATGGAGCGTGCACATGTGGAGTCTGCGAAATGGGAAATGGGAAATGGGAAATGGGAAACGGGAAACGGGAAACGGGAAACGGGAAACGGGACATGAGGGGTGAGGGGTGAGGTAAGGCTTATTTTTGTTTTTCTCTGTACATGCCCTGGGTGATGGTGGGCTGGGGTACTGATGCGCGCAGGAAACTCCCGGCCGCGTTGGACGTGCCGCGTTGGACACTGGGCAGGAACGCTGGACGCTGAATCTGCTCCGAGCTCCGGGGTCTTTGACTCGGTAGTGATGCTACGATTACGATACGTGGTGATGGTATGATTTCTGCGATGGGGATGGTATATTTAGCCCGGGGACAGGTCATCCACTGCCCCTCACGGCAGACACTAGTGTTGCTTATGGACCTGGCGCCGACGTCTACGGCGGTTCTTCGTGAACGTGGCGGTCCGTGCAGTTGAATTGAATTGAATTGGCACTCGATTGGGGCGTCTGGACGTGGCTGGGCTGTTCTTGGTGAATACGTCGACGTCGACGTCGGGGCGGTGGTAGTATCGTTGAAGTTCATATCCGACCTCGAAGCTTCGAGGAAAGAGGAAACTTTTCTTTTGCTTGCTGTAATACAATGCAGCATGATTCACGATGACTCGCGTAACGTGTGCGATATGCACGTATAATGGACATGGAGATGAAGGCGGTCATGCATGTCGAAGAAAGTTGGCGCCGACGTCGTTCTTTGATGCTTGAGAGATTCTGTTATCTATTATCTATTATCGTCCATCATTCTCCGGAGCATCTAGATATCAACGCGTCAAGATAGACGTTCATATCGACACAACACGTCTTCATCGCACCGCATCTAACACCTTCCATGCATCCGGGACCTGCCTCGTTTTGTAGATATAGACACAGATAACTCGATGACTCAATCCAAGCGCTCCAGAAAACGCAAGTTAATCAGGGGGCATCAGGAGACGTTAGGAGATATCAGGGGAGTAGGTGGAGATATCTTGCATCTACTTCCAGTAGTTCTGCGGCACTTGCGTATTGAGGCGTATTTTACTCCCTGGCAGCCATATTCCCAGTGGGCAGGTCAGGTCGCAGGCCGGGTCACAGCCGGAGACTAACAGAGCTCGAGGAATCAATGTTCATTTCGGATCCGGGTACCACGACGGTTAAACGATCGACTTCCTTCCACATTCTAGCGTGCATGCATACATCGTGAGTGTGCACTTCGTGTAACTCGTGTGTTCGTAAGGAATGGTCGTGTGGAAGTGTT